GTAATTTTTCACTACTATTAACAGAAGTTTTGTTCAGAAGCTGATCCGTTTCTAGAAAGCGCTGAACTTTAAGACCTTTGTGACTTATGGTTGAAAATAAAAATTTGTCTCATATTCAACATTAATCTTCTAAAATTTTTCGACACAACACTGTCAGTGCCTCTCTTGGATCTCCATTAACGTTGTCCGTTTTTCACAAAAACATATAATGACGGAATACATTGGCTTTAGTAGAAGTCATGGATTCATTAAATTTCGTTGACTGTCCCAAAGTAAGATAACAGTGGCATTCCATGTGGCCATTACTTGCAAGAACTTAATAAAATTTTTTACAAAGAATTCAAAAAAAACTTGAAACGCGAAAAGAATTATGCTGTAATACCAATAAAAACATTAACATAAAAAAAGTCCAATAAGTTTGTAAAATAAAAATTTCAAACAATTGTACAAGAAGAAAGCGAGTTGCGTGCGTAAATTGTGTGGGTGTAGCGCAAATGAGAAAATAGGTTAGAAATGATCATTACAACAATCTGAACAATGTTCATTTTGTGGAAACTGAAATTTCTAAAAAAAGTTCTATTTTTACCCGCCCTAATATATATATATATATATATATATATATATATATATATATATATATATATATATATATATATATATATATATATATATATATATATATATATATATATATATATATATATATATATATATTATATATATATATATATATATATGTATATATATAGATATATATATATACATATATATAATATATATATATATATATATATATATATATATATATATATATATATATATATATATATATATATATATATATATATATATATAAATATATATATATATATATATATATATATATATATATATATATATATTTATATATATATTTATATACATTTATATATATATATATATATATATATATATATATATATATATATATATATATATATATATATATATAATATATATTTATATATACATATATATCAACCTATTTTCACAAAGATGCTCTATTCACAAAATAATTCCAATATTTCTAAGAACAAGCACCCCTTTAAAAACAAAAAACAATAAAATTAACAAAAAACTACCAATTTCAACTTTTTGTTAGCATAAAAAAATGACGCTAAAAAACTTTTCAAACATTTAAATAACTTAAAAGACTTAAAAGCTGAATTTTCAATATTGTTATCTCCAGCTGATTTTCAAAACATTGATTGAATTACAAAAATATTTCAAGAAACAATATTCCTCACATCCAGAAAAACCTTAAAAACAAAATTTGAAAAACTAAGATAAATATTTTGTTTTTCAACCATTTTCGAAAAAAAAAAACAACCTATATTGCTAAATTTAGGTAATAAAAACAATTCACCACATCATAATTTATAAATCTCGGAACAAAGTTTGTTTTATTAAATAATAAAATTTCCTACATGGATATTGTAACAAAAACTGGAGCTGCTGCCTTAAACTAAAAATATAATAATAAAGAAACAGTTTCCATAAAAGTTTGCCAGAATGTAATTTGTATGCATAAAAAAGCAAAGCCACCAAGAAGTAAACTTACATCTGCACAAAGAAAAAAGTAACCTTGGTAACCCTACATCTGTTCGAAGAAAAGCAGTTAGAGAAATTAAACTCGACAAATACATGCAAATTTATTCTTTTGGTAAAGACGCAGCATAGTGAGAACATTCCATTGAAATAGGTGGCCAAAATATACTCGTTGGATTTATGTAGATAATGAGCTGTAATATGGAAAATCTCGATACAAATGCCGAAATTCTCAAGGAATTTCCCTTTTGTTTATTTATTTCTGTTCCAACAATTTTATGGTAAATTTGTGGTAAGTTTGTAGTAAAAAAAAGAAGTATTAATAAATTTGTTAAAAAAGTGTACTTTGCGTATTTTGGTGTGAAGATTTTTGGTAGCGATCAAGACAAATCTTGGGCCCCGCATGGAGCTTGTTTAGGGTGTGTTGAAGGACTTAAAATGTGGTCAAAAGGTAAAGTTAAATCTTTTTGTTTTGGTGTTCCCATGATCTGGACAGAACCTCGAAACCACAGCGGTGACTGCTACTTTTGTTCGTACAATGTGTAGGGGTGTAGTACCAAAAAATAAAACAAATTTTTTATCCAAACATAGAATCGGCACTTTTCCCAGTCCCTCGCGGACCTGGAATTCCTGTAATACAAGCACCCTAAAGTCTAGACGATTTACCATCATTAGAAAGTGAATCAGAAGAAAGTTCTAGACACGAGTTTCAAGTATGCGAATCCAGTAGTCCTCAGCAATTTTCTCAAGCTGAATTAAATAATCTGATCCGAGATTTAGGACTCTCAACACAATCTGCTGAGTTACTAGGATCTAGACTGCAAGAGAAAAATTTATTGACACCTGGAACTTATTTTGCTTGGTATAGAAATAGAGAAAAGTATTTTATTTTTTCTCAATATGGTGAGCTGGT